ATTTTGATTATGTAGAGATGAGGTCTCGCCAAATTGCCCAGGCGGGTCTCGAACCTGCGGGCTCAGGCAATTCACTCACCTCAGCCTCCCAAAGGCGCAGGATTACAGGCTGAGCCACCGAGCCCGGCAAATTGTACATTTTTAATTGATGAATTGTATGGTAACTTTTTAAAAAAGTAACTTGTTTAAAATGGCAAATTTTGTTAAATATTTCTTAACAATAAGTAAATTTTAAAAGGCAGGTGCACCAGAGCACAGGCACCACTCAAAGCCTAGGCAGGAAACACCTCACAGGTCACTGTTCACTTGAGTAGAGGCAGGTTACTAAGCGTTTCGTTTGGGGCTCTTGAGTCCACCTGGTGTAGAGCTTTAACTAAAAGTGACTGAATTAGATAAAGCGGTAATAGAAAGCTATTTTAGGATCGTTACATGAGCCTAAAGAGAAGAGAAGAAAGAATTAAATGAATAAGGTGTACACAAAAGTAAATCAGGGAAAGTGATTGAAAGTAAGAGGCACATGAATGGGAAGCCTGTTGCTGCTGCACACTCCAATTGCCCACTATGAATTTTTACATAGCTTTTCATATGACAGAAGGCTCTAAACGAGCAATGTTTTTCTTCTTTCATCTTTTAACCCAACAAACACCAAGTGAACACTGCAGGCATTAGAACTGACAAAATCTTGCCCTTGACTTTCATCGACATACGGGGGCCCATAAAGCCCCAAACCTCTGAGAACTACTTAGACAAATACTAGTCAGGTGGTTTTGTTTTTCCTTTTTTTTTTTTTTTAATGAAGAAATAGCAATTACTTTGTAAAAGATCGGGTTTTTTCCCGCCAATAAACACGCTGGATTTTACTCACCGATTTCCTCCGATTCTTGCCCAGAGGCTCTAAGCTTGCATTCCTTTGGATAGTGTTTTTGAATGGTTTTCCACAGTTCCATGTTGATCAGAGAATTTCTCCGGGCATGGTACCGAGTCCACGAAGATACCCGACGGCGACAGAAGGGACAGTACAGGGAGGCCTTTTCGACAGTCGACTGGAAGCATGGATTACACAGCGTGTGGTTACAAGGAAGGGTTACGGGCTCGATTAGGATTTCCATACAGATCTGGCACTGGCATTCCGACAAAGAAGGGACGGCGTCTTTGGGCACAGCCATTTTAATATGCTAATAAGGTCTATTCAATCTCAACACCTGAAAGAAAAAAGGAATCGTATTTTCGGCCAACAGAAAGCAAGTTAACAATTTTGTTTAAATATTATGCCCAGCAGAATATCAGAACTCAAAAAACGAGTGCATCAAACACGTCTTGAAGCAAAAGGCGCCCTAAGGGTCACGCAAACAGCAATATCCTGAAAGACAATGCACTTATCCATTTTATTTTTTAAAGTAGTTTATGATACTTGGGTTTTTTATTTATTTATTTTTGTTTGTTTTTTGAGACAGGGTCTCGATATATTGCCGAAGCTGGACTCGAACTCCTGGCCTCAAGTCATCCTCCCGCCTCGGCCTCCCAAGGTGCTGGGACTACAGGCGTGAGCCAAGGCGCCCGGCCACTGTCCTTTTTTTTGAGTTGGGGTCTCACTCTGTCGCCCAGACTGGAGTGCAGTGGCCGCTCCCG